GAAAATTATTTTACATTAAAAGTTATTTTACATAAAAATGAACTTTTTTTATAAACACTTTTGAGCTTTTTAAGTCGGAGGGTATGTATTATTTATTTATTTTAGTACCGTATAACTTTCGCTAGTAAAGGAGCCACTGACGATATATCTCGATATGTCTGATACGCGCGTTCAAAATACGATCTCAGAGTAGACTGAAAAAACTGCTTAAAATTTAACATTCAAATATACGGATATGTAATATATGTCAGTGATAGCGTTTTTTATCGTACCTAACAAGCATTTCTTCTATGTTGAAATATATTACGAGTAAAAAAGATCGCAATATTAAAAACATGTTTTTAACGTTTTAAAATTATTATTTACACTTCAATCTCAGTCTATTTTGTAATTTTTGAAATATAATTTTATAAATGCTTGCGAGTAATACATGTGTAATGCATGTGTATGTACATTTATAGAACACATACAACACGTACGTTAGAAAAAAAATACATGAAATATACATGATTGTATTATTTTATACAAAAATAAAAAATTTATAAACAAATATATAGAGAATATATAGAGAATAAATTTGACAAAAATGGATAAATTCGAGTAAAGCAAATACACAGAAATAAACAATAAAGTTATAAAATAATAGTTATAAAACAAATTTTATACAAAATGTATATATCTCTCTCGATAACTGCCATAGCGTTTTTTAAAAAAGATCGTAAATAATTAAACATGAAAAAGTTTGAAAAAACGATTCTATCTATTCTGGTAGTAACAGATTTTATGGGACTTCAAAATGATCAAAAGATACAAATGTATAACATATGACAAGAAATGGATGAGGTTTCAATTCGTCTCATATCTGCCATTTTTCAAAGAAGTGACAAACCAGGACAATATTTTGTAAACAGAGAAAATTTCTCACATTAGAAAGCAATAGAAACAGATATTAAATAGAAGAGCAAAGAAAGAAATAGTAAAATGACAAGAACAGTAAGACGAAAAAAGACAAATGTAAAATGAATGTGCAGAACAGCTATTATCTAGATTCAGAAATTGGCAAATTTTGTCTTAAACTCAATCCCTTGTGTACAATCATTGTGAGATTTATTATTCTACGAAATACCCTGCTACCTGCATATAGAATGTATACCTGAAGTGCATTTATTTTGTTCCTACGAATGTGCTTTGTATGTATGTATGTGTGTATGTCATGTAAGGATTAACTATTACAAATTTCAAGGGATTTCCTTCGCAAAGTAACCGATTATAGTTTGGAATACGGTCGCTCCATAATTTTCAGATTATCAAAGAAAGAATATATCTCAAACGTTGTAATATACAAATAAAAAATTATAATTGACAAAGTAAAAAGTTATTTTACAAGTTGCGCGTTAATTTATAAAATGTCAGAGATTATAAACGGAAATTGAAAGGGGCATTCTGAAGCTTTTATGTCACAAGAACTAAGTTTTAAGTACATTTAAAAAGATTCTATTATTTAATTAAATAACTTAGTTAATTTGCAATTGAATAATTATTATACTCGAACAATGGCTGTAGGTAATGATTGCAAAAAGCATCTCACGGTAAAAGCATTACAGCAATTCAGTTTTCTTTGAGATAGAGAGAGACGTGATTTAGATCTATATTATTCTCAGCATCGGGGAATATTCGGAAATCACCATGGAATACTCTATCATGTTAGACGATATTTGAAATTCGGTTCGTTAAAAGTTGAATAAAATAAACGAATCGTCAAAAACAATATTCGATTCGTCCTTCTCTCTTTCGCTATTTGCGGATCGCTTTTAACGAGGAAAATTTAATTATAACTTCGAAGGCGAGATCTCTCAGCACGGCTTGTTAAAATGAACAAAGTATTGCATACACACAACCGTATACATATCGTTCTATAAAGTGTAATTTTACAAATCCCACAGGGAATACGCATAATCTCTTTAAACAACGCGGATTATATTAACGCTATACTTGTAACAGATGAGCTCGAAGAAAAACATGTCTCGTCCATTCCAGGGTTTGCTGCTAAATAAGTATCTATTACCAGTATCGCGGTTTAACGGCATCCGTACACTGTTCCGTCTTATAAAGCTCATTAATTTTATGATTTTTTTCCGGCGTAAGAAAACTGCGAATAGCAGCTTTTAAAAAACCTTTTTAAAGTGCGTAAAAAATTACAACTTGTGAAGTTAAAAATATGTCCAAAGATTTTCGTACAAACGAAAATTAACGATATTTATTCTTGTTCCATTTTTATATTTCTTTTCTAATTTTTTTTTTTTTATTTATAAAGAAAGAGATCTCTACCACGTTAAGTGATTTTCTTAGGCGAATAAACCTTTAAAGTTCTCCACTGTATTACACCGAGGGCTGAGGGTGAAGGCTAATCGAATAAATACTCTAACGTCAAATACGGGCAATATACAGCCGTGGAAGTAAGGCGAACGCCGTGGAATTTCAGTCGCTAACTGTTTTACTGGAAAGGATTCCGTAAATGTTTTCGGTTCCTGTTTCGGTCTTCGATTCGCCAGCGGCAACATCCCTCGCGCGCAACACCGCGGTGTCACGTGGCAGGACATCGAAATTGCGCCATTAATTTAACAGGAGAGAGAGAGAGAGAGAGAGAGAGAGGAAAACCGCCACACATTTTCCCTGTAATTTCCAGTCGGTCATTGCCAGAGAACACAGGAAAGCTTGCGTCCCACAAGCTTGGGAGCCCGTGAGGCGCGTTACACCACCGATATTCCCGGTCGAATAATTTTATTATTTTGATTCTCGTCGACGGGAAACGCTAAATGTGTCGTTAAATGATAAGTTAACAATAGCATCGTTGACAGTAGCGCGAGATAGCACATACGCTTGGTGTTGTAGGTATTTTTTGTCCACAGTATGTGCAAATATGTTGTAATTTTGGAAATTGTAGATTTTATTTTGTATCCGAACAATATATTTACACACAGAGGAAACGGCACATATTGATGTTGATGTTACAACGATAATTACGGTAATAATAACAATAATGACAACAATTATAATGGGCAATACGTTATTACAATGTATTCTCATTAAAATTTCGCTCGATCCGACCTGCTTACGAAGCCGACGTCGCGCTGTCGCTCGTGAAATAAGCGGAATCTAGCGGGTAGTTCGCATAAATCGCAGGAGCGCTTGCTAAAACAAAATTCCTTCCGTCTTTGCTTATCGGCGGCGTGTCGGCTACATCGGTCCATTTTTCTTCCGGACCTTTACGTAATGACGCTGAAAAGGTTCGATCGACTGAACTACCGTCGCCTGCGTTTGACAACGTCACGAGCTGCACGTAACGCACGCGATCGATCGCATCCCGCGTCCAATCGAGAATCAACAGGCTTGAGAATATTATTGCTATTATCATTATTATTATTATTATTTTAATTAACCCGCTTTATACACATTATAATTCGTTTTTCGATCGTACGTGCGGTCGAGTTTGTCGCTCGTGCTTTAAATCCACGGCACGGTGAATTAGATTAGAGACAGAGGATCCCCGTCCTGAATTCGCCATGTAAAAAGTATAGCGCGTTTTTCGTTTCTCGAATCTTTCTTCCCTTCCTTCCGTCCCCTTCCGTCCCACCAACCCCTTCTTTCTCTTTCTCACTCCCCTCTCGAGGAGACATTAAAATTACTTCCATTTCGTCGCAGTGCGATCACGCTCGCGAAACATAATCGTGCCGCTTCGCGATCGAAGGCACGTCCCGGCGAGCGTGCCAATGTTCATAAAAATGTTCGCGGTGTCGCCGGAACTTTAAACCGCCGTCTATTATTCCGACGAGGGATAGACGAGCCAACCGAAAGTTTTCCGATAAATCATCACGAGGCCCGAGAAGGGACGAGGACAGAAAGCACAAAGTCGCGAAAGCAATAAATATTAATAGCGAACGGTTACTGCATAATCGATCAGAACTTTTCCAGAGTCATTCCGCTGTTGAAACAACCTTGCCGAGTACGTCCAGGTATACCGGATGTTCCAGATTAACCGTCTCCTTTAGCTTAACGCAGTTATTCTTTGGTTAAATGAAAACTTGAGATTTTTTTTATTCTCTTTTTCTTCTTAACAAAAATCTCGCCAATAATCTTCAAGTTGTGAAAGATTTCAAAAAAGTTTTGAAGAGTCGGGATCGATATTAATTAAATTATATTTTCAAATTATTAATTTAAAAAATTAGCGTTACACAATTAGTCGTTCGATATATTTAAGATGGAGTTTTTTATAATAAATCACGCATGAGAAAGATGAGACAATCGAAACTTTACTTTAAGATCAAAAGTTGACTTCGAACTAATTAAATCGAAGAAAAGGAATCGCCAATAATCTAGGACACCTTGTATGCGACTGGGCTTTCTGCAAGAAGCGAGTTATACCGGGAAACCTTTTTAAGTCGCCCTTTGTTCATTTCGCTGAGGGAAGAAACAATTACCGGACTTTTTAAACACCCCGGCCTGACGCGATCCCGGGTCATCGCTCGTACTTGAAGAAACGTAATTATCAGGGAAGTCCGTGCAAGAAGCTTCTCGTTTTGCCACGAGTAAAACAATGGCTTTGTATGGCTGCAGCCATGCGTTCGCGGTAAAGTAATTGTTCCAGCATTAGCGTCGCTCGGTGCATTTTACTACAAGCGATTAGTTTGCTCGAATGTCACATTAACGATAATTATTATCGTCATTATTAGCAGATTGAATTAGGAATTCAAGCATACTTTCTTTATTCTTCGGAATCGTTGGGCGGAACTGAGGCAGATTAGCTCTCTTTTTTTTTTCTTGCGGAAGAAGACACTGCGAAAATAAATCCGACTACATAGCGGTTTCTTTGGTGGCTCTGTAAAGACGAAAGTCTAAAGCCTTATCTTCATGAAGAAATAATTAGCTACGTGCGGAGACTGGTTGAAATTATATGGAAATTTTAATTCCTTTAACTTGCTATCGATCGTATTTTCCAGCCAACGTCTCATTTAACATTTCTCCTTTATTTAATTTCTCTCATTATACATTATACGAGAAAGTATTTTATATTTTCACACATTCATACATTTTACGCGCGATTTACATCAAGTATTCTCACGCCGTTGTATTCGCATCCATTACAACATTATTATTCGCGATATACACATTATTGTATTTGAAGCTCGATATCATTGAAATTACTAATGCCGGTTTTACGATGACTCGATAAATATGTATAAGCGTTACAATATGTATTTCGATATTACAAACTAATGAGACTTGCATGAGTTTAATACGCGAGATTAGTTTGAAATCGTCGCCGCGTTTAATCGTAATATACACCGAATACGCAACACCATGCGTATATGTGATTGTTTTCGAGCACGTGATACGAGTAATTATCGCGCTCCACATCCCAGAGACACTGGAAGGCCGCGTGTATACTTTGTTGGAAGCGTTGGATTATATATACTTGCGTCACCATCTTGTATCTAGTTACAAGCACAATCGTATCTCATAGAACAGCTCGGATGATTTGATTTTACGAAATAATTTTCTAGTATTTTATACATCTCTTTCTTGGTTCTGTACGATCATTATTAGACATACGATATCGCTTGATAACAAAAAATATCAACATTTATTTTCTGTTACATCGAAACGTTACATTATTTACTTATCAAAAATAATTATATTTTATTCTACGTAAAATAAAAAAAGATAAATTTGATATAATTATGTAAATACAACTGATCCGTCTCGCTTTTAAAAATAGGGAAAATGAAAGAAACTGTACTTGTAATTTTTACAAAGGACCGCGAGAAGGAAAGTGAGACAGGAGGTAAGTGGGCGAAGTGGAATCCAATCTGAAATAAATTTCCATAATTTCAATACCTATCGTAATCCTTCTTGACGACAGCCTTCAGCACGTCGGCAGCAATTTCCAAACACAATTTTTGATGTCTGATCTGGTTGGTATGATGTAATCGCCGATAATTTGATCTCCATTACGTCACGAATGATTTTGTCGACCACTGCTGCGTGAAAAGCTCTAAACGGTTCTAGGCGAAAGGTATTCTGGTATCTCGGAATCTAATCGGACAAGAAATGCTATACCAATACCGTTCACGACAATAGAATTTAATGTGATAATAAATCGATAGATAGATTCAACGACACCGAGAAAATGATCACAACAAGTTACAAAAAAACAGCGATATTGTCAAAATCATGAAATGCGTAATATAGAAAAAGCCAGATAAACTTCCAAAGACTCGATTCGATATTTCTTTTAAAATTTCAATGTTAATAAAGATCATAAAGAATTGTAACTTCTTAAAAATTACAGCGCGAAATTTTTCTTCAATTTTCCTTTCTTTTGGAGTTTCGTTTCAAAAACGAAATGATTTTTCAGGCGCGTCGAGATTCACCCTCGTATTAAAACTTGTTCATTTTCCGTGCTCACTCAATTTATTTGCGTCCATCCAATTTATTCCGTCGCGCTGGATAGAGAACGTACCTTAACTCGATCCGCACGCCTGTAAAACAGTATGCCGGCCCCATTGGAACCAATCATGGAAAGCTTCGACAGCGTTTTTTTCTTGGTCTGCGTCCGGAAATAAGAAACACGTACCATTTTAGATCCCGCGGCGATATTCCGTAACGCTCGATATAACGCTCGGCAAAAAGAAAGAAAACATGTAAAAGCGGTTTCTTCGCATAAATTTCTCAGTTTCCTCTGATTGATTTGAATATTTATAACGCCCACTTTTGCGCATCGTAAAATATTAAATCGATAAAGAATGCATATTGCAAGAAGATAAGTAAGGAACGAAGGTAGGATGCATCAACTGATATAAATATTATTTCGGAGAATGACACTTTTCGTTTGCCGATTAAAATTTAAATCCTTGAAAGATTAATTATACCTACAGCGGATTTACCGATGTATTATTTTCGCCAAATATACACGACATTTATAAAACAACTAACCTAACGTCAGAATTTTTTGTGTGTGTTTAGGCATGCATTTATATTCGCATTTACCTCGCTATCTATCGGTTTAACGCTCGTTTTTTGGACCACATTTTGCAATACTTTACTCTTTGATACTGGCACTGAAGTATCTTGTTTACTCTGGTGTTTACTCATTTTAAGTAGCCTCCAGTGACAAGTGACATAAACGAATTGTACTCGAGAGGAGGAGCCGCTGCGAACAGCGGCACGGAACAAAAGACGCTCATCAAAAGAATTTCAGCCGTGTCGCTGAAAGGAGGAAATTATTGCAATCTCCGTCCGCAGTTTGCGAGTAATTTCGGCAAATAATTACGCGTGCTACGCCGCGATAAACTATTCTGCTGCAGAAACGTCCGGGTGCGTAAATGACATTTAAGTAGGACTGCGACTAGATTTTCTTAAACTTTTTTTTTTTTTTTTGTGACTAAAATGATAGTCAACTTTTTTATATTTAACACGTCTTTATGTTTAATACTGGTCCCTCCAAAAGAAAAACATTTGACAAAGCATGTATAGATGATTTATAGATGTACAATAACGAGAGGATTAATATCTCGTTATTTTTATTTCTGTAATTTTTTTATTTAATTATCGTTTTATTTTGTCAGATTTTTTTTTAACTTAATATTATGTTACTTTACGTGCAAATAATGCTGAGTTCTGCACCGAGCAGCGTCATTCCCCGACATGTAACATGCACTCTTGCAAGTCTCGCTTTCCGGCTGTCTTGAAGTGTCCGACTCAACGGGAGCGTTAAAGCATTGGATCAAGATCGATATCGAGCGGGTTCGGCGTCGTTGGGCATCGACACGGTTTGTCAATTGCAAATGATCTTGCACCACAAACGAACCGCGTTTATCCGACGCCGTTGTGCCGTTGCAAACACCGCGATCGATATAAGAGGAGTTACGCCCTCGAGCTTTGCTAAGCTTTGAACGGTAGAACGTTAAGTACTTCCTTTGACAAACTAAAGGAAATTTGCCTACGCTCTCGGCTCAACTATGCTGAAAACAACTCGCCGGGGATTTATTTAGTAATCGTTGCAATATTCAAATACTTTAGCGAATATTAAGTCCAGCCAAGTAAAACGCAAAACATCTGTTTCCGGGACACTTTTCTCACCATCGGTGTAACGTAGCTATAAATGATTTTAGCGATCGCGATACTTTGATGCACCGTGAGCGTGTGATAAAGAGCACCTTGTCGAGAATTTCGTTGCGCGAGAACGCTAATAAAATCAATTAATGTCATCGTCATTACGATTTGCATTATATTATTGACGTAGGTTATCGTAAACCGAATCTATTTCCAAAGCTGTCCCGGCGTTGCGCGGTGAAGTCGTCGTTACTACTTCACGGTGTTTTGTTTCAGCGTTTTATATAATGATTTTAAGTTAACTGTAATTTTCTCTCAATCTCTCCTGCGGCCACCGGTGTCTCTTGTGCACACAGAGCGCATGCGGTAAAGGCAAATGAGTCGTTCCGTTTCCATTCAACGAGCGAAAAGTTCGGGATTTTTCTTTTCCCTTTTCCCTCCCCCCCTTTTTTCTTCTTTTTCAACTCCGTAGAAGCGGAAGAGGATTGGATAAACAATCGACAGAATTTCCTGGACGATCAGCAGTTACGCGGCTAACTTCCACGAACGTGTCGCAGAAACTCGTTGGCTAACTCGATAAAACTCGGCCTCCGTGCCGTACAAGCATCTAATGCGGCAGCAGCCGCCCGGTTTAGTTTCTTAGAGAAATTCTTAGATGGCCGATCTCAAAACTTCCCTTTCTCGCTCTCTTTCGTATATTTGACATCCGCAGATAGCCGGCCGCTCTTCTTTCGAGAGATCGATAAAAACTGGTATGCATTGCCAAGAGATATGACGTTTACTTTTCTCGAGAGATGGCCAGGTCGATTAAGGGGGCGGCGAACCGATGTCTCAGTAAATTGTCTAACACGATTTGAGAGATCGTTATCCATGGCGTTTTCAATCGGAGTTGCTCGAGTGCTCCGTGGCCGATTTGAAATCGATATTTCCTCGGTGGGAAGATTGAATCGGGCGTAATCCCCCTCCGCAGACGTTCAATGCGAAGCGTTAAGTATTTTCGTAACTAAGCTTCGCGCCCTCTCACAATGCTAATCTCTCTTGCGCAGCCTCCGAAGTGTGCGATCCATTGTGTCAGTTTTGGCACAACGACTCGGAAACTATTATGCGCGGAATCTAGATTGTGCGAACCGCGAAAAGAACACGCCGTGAATTTTCTTTCCCGTTTTCTTTATAAACGTGTCTTGCGTCCCCATCCCCGTTCTCCCGTCCCATTCTTTTGTATTGTGCACGGCCCCGCGGACACGCCACATTCGTCCTCTCGCTTATAAAGCTACGACTACGGGCGAAACTCCTCAATAAAGGCTGCATTTGCGTGTATAGTGCATTCCTCGAATAATTCAGCTTGCTTCGCATGGTTTATATGGTTCACGTATAACCTATTCGCGGGTTGGAGCTTGGAGCGAATGCGAGCAAACAACATTGGTTAAACTTCGACGCGGATTGTCGAAAGAATTCTCTTGTCGCTTTCTTGAAAAGTGGCTCTGGTTACATCTGTGAGAGACATACGTTTTAACATGATGTCGCGCATGTTGCTCGAAAGATGTAAAAAACGCATAACAAATTATATATTAACTAAAGAAATACGGAGCGAGTTGCGATAGAGCGCGGTGTCGCGATACCAATTACGCGAAGCTCGCGGCGATGAGTTTTTCGCGGCTTTTGCGGAACCACCGGCGCGCCGGGATTTTCCGCGGAAATATCCGGGAAAATTGCTTTGCGCTCAAAAGCTTCACGCGATTACGCTGTAAACTCGTTCATTAGGGCGATACTCGGGTGGGCGACAACTCGAGCGCATTCAAAAATTCGATCATCCGACCTAACTCGCGCGATCTCATGTAACTCTGGCGAGATGAAACACACACACACACACACACACACACACACACACACACACACACACACCACCCCACCCACC